AAAAATGTGTCAAATAAACATAACGATCTCGCCAGGCATCATGCTGCGCTCTCTTCAACAAAACTTAACGTTCCTTTTAAATCTTCCATGTTCGACGGAAAAAATATAAGAGAAAAAATTCCGCAGAACTGATTCTACACTTACTTCGGCCAGCCAATAACTTCTGAAACACAACAGGAACTGACTTCTGATTCGATGCCACAAGAACATATTTCGGCAAAATGTTTAATATTTGGTCCTGGAAAACTGTTATTGATAGGATATGAGAAAGTGCTACGATCTGTGGGTAACTGGCGTGAAGGGTAGCAAGATGCGAAGCGATGAACAATTTCTGTACGCATGCGCAGCAAACAAGACTCGTGTATAAACAAAAAACACGATGATTTAGGAAAGGACAATTTGGCTTGGTTACACCTACTGTAAGGCTGCGGGGCCGATACGCCTTTCATACCGACGTTTAACAGAACAGTGGATATGAGCGGTATACCTTATCAAGTCCAGTGAGAACGGGAATCATCGTGCGAACATCAGTTCTTCCCTTCGCGTACAGTTTACTTGTTCGATATACAAGTTCCCGAGTTGGTGGATCTCAAATTATTGTGAATTTGCATTCAAAACAGACATTAGCGGATCCAATAAGCACATGCAAATATCACATAAAATAAGGTCCGGAAAAAAAAAAAACTTGTCGAAAGATATACTTCGCTCGGTGAGTAGGTGAACAACTCTGGCTGCCAGTGTTTCTGCGCCCGGTGGACAATTTTCAATCATTTCCAAAAGCTCCACACTTGACGCACCCATTGACTTTATGGAGCCATCTATTGCGCGCAAAATAACCTAAACAAAGATGAAATAAACGAAAGATGAGTGAATATGAGCCCAAAATAGTGCAAACCAAACTACGATAAATCACTCTGGCACACAGTGCATCCTATTCATCAACATATCGCATGCATATTTGATCCCAAATTTTCCCAATAAAGCAATACATTTTTAATGAAGAGGCGAGCTTTGAAATCATCCAAACTTTCTAATTATACGTTTTTAGAGTGAAATTTTGAATTTCTTGGTATAATTGCTCAATTTTTTAATGCATTTGATACAATTAGCTAATTTCAACACACGTCTTTCAGCTGCATTTAGCCCCACCCCAGCTTCATCCATGCCTTGTGACAAAATTTTATAACTGTGTTACGAAGCTTTCGTCCACCTTGACTGAATTCTGGAGCCCATAACTTGAGTTTCTATGTTTCTGCACCAATAATTAAATCAAAAGCGGCGTTTAGCGTTAGAAGGTTGTCTGTGTGTGTGTGTGTGTGTGTGTGTGTGTGCTTGATATGTAAAAATATTTCAATTTTTAGATCTAGAAGCTACGGAGCTGAAGTTTTGCCAATTTCCAAAATGAACATTCAGGCTTCCTACTTCTCAAGAAGAGACCAGCCAAAGCTGTTTTTTGAAGGATAGGGGGTGGGCGGGGGAAAGTGGAGCGGGGAGGAGGGGGCGAGGAGATGAGCGGGGAGG